TTTCTTTTTTTTTTACAGGTCTTCTATGATGCAGATACACCTCAACCAGCCACCGAGCCGATTGGTTATGCTGCTAAATTAGCTCAGCCTGAGAGGGTGTAAGGCAGACAAATAATATGTCAAACGTCTAATTTAATAAATCTGATCAAATCAGGTTTTCTCCCTGCACCGAGGAGCCAGAATATGCAGCAAAGTGTGGATGCTAACAGCTTCCTCTCCACACCTGTTTTCACCCAGGAGTTGAATTTTGTTTTGTTGTTGCCTGCATTTTCATCGTCGGGCCCAGGCAGGAGTGCATAGCTCTGTTAGGAAGATGGGCACAGAGGCAGTGGAGTGGCTCGGCCAAATGTGCCTTCCATTTCCGTGTTCTATTGTCAGCACTCCATATAAAAACATCAAATATTGAAAGGGTGCATTAACATGGGTCAGAAATTGATGGCTTTTCCTGTGCATGAGTGTGTGTGCTTGTGTGTATGGTATGTATGTAAGGGAGAGTTGTATTCGTGGAGGATGTTTTTTTTGGTTTTTTTTTAAAGTGTTAAGATTATTTTTAGGCTTGCATTAGGGTTAGGTTATATATATGTGTGTGTTAAATATATAGTTTGAACTGAGGATTAGAATTAAGGTGAGAGTCCAGTTACAGCAGTACTCAAATGGTGGGGCGGGTCCCTCTCGGGGGCGTGAGGGGCTTCCAATGGAATATGGCACGCTGGACATAAGTGTACCACTGCTGTAATGCATGAATGATAACAAGCCTCCAGTCACTAGGTGGCAGCAACTCATACAGTGGTTTGTACAGATAAAGATATACATGTTAGCAGGTTCTCAATAGTATTTCAATTCGTGGGGGAGTGGGTCGGGTATCAGGATATACAGTATTTATAAAGCTACATGAAGCGCTTAAAAACTAAAATGGGTGTGTTTATTTAATCAATTCCAAATTGAAAAGAAATTGAAATATATAGGCACAGTATGTAGAAGGACATTAGGGGAAATATTAAATAACTTGTGGTCTATAAAGTACGTCAAATGAAACAAGCTCTGGTTCATATATTCTTCTTTTTTTTTCACCCACAGTGAGGAACAATGCCTAATTTGTAATTTTGTTTCCCTTGTTCAATGACAAAAGCGGATTTGTAAGGATTTTATTTTATTTCATTTGTTTGTTTTATCTACGTTTGTTTGTATCTACAAAGGGGGAACGCTGCTGAGAAAGTGAGAAGGCCACGAGATACTGTGGTCCCTGCGGAGGGACATGGAAGATGGAAACAAGACACAACAACGGCTTACTCGGCATCGGCTTACACAGCTGCAGCCGGTCCAAGTAGTCACCAGGTAAGACAGGAATTCATACGTGGACTTATGACTATTTCTTATTTAAATGTTGGGAATGAAAAGCTGCAGGGACGTAAGCAAACACACACCCAGATACTTGACAGGTTAGGGAACTTCGACAAACATTGGCTTAAGCCAAGGCCTAACCGTGTTCTTAACCTAACTATAACTAGTCTTTTTTATTTTGAATTCACTAAAGCCTAGGAGGATAATGTTTGCCCTGCTTCATAAAAAATGGTAAACATAATTTAAAAAAGGGTCCTGTACAAGTACTAAACTAAGTAAACGCATAACAACTATCTAACAGGCGGGCCTGCCCTCTACTGTCCAAGTTATAAACTGCTCCCATGTGCAGTTCACGTTGCTACGGCAGACACTGCACTCTGCTACAGTAAATAATTATTCTGCTAACATTAGTACCGAGAGGAATGAATAGTAACGTGGTGTTGGCGTAACGTTAAATATATTTCTAGAATCTTCTTTTAACCTTATCGTAGCGGTCTGTTGACAGGAAAACATTAGCTTAGCAGGCTTAGCAACTGAAACCTGCTGTAAGCAAAGAGCAAATTCCAATGGCCAACAACCCGTTTTACCGTGTAGGACTGCTCAACCTGTTGTGTGTGAATTGCAGCGGGCAGATTCATTATTGACTCTCCACCGGCATTTTATTACTGCAGGTCAGTGGTAGAAGACGTCAATCTCATTTGGCAATAAATAAGATTAAAGAAAACATTGCAAGAAATGCATTGTTTAACATATCTGATTCATTTAAAAAAAAACCTCTTTTACTAAACCAATACTGATATAGCTAGGTCAATTCATTTGTTTTGAAATAATCAAATATATTTATGTGTATAGATATTTAGCGTTTTCTAAAAATAAAAACTACAGAATTACATATAATCATACAGTCAAATATTGTCCTTTAGGACTACAAACCAAATAGGTTTTTAGCCCTGTTTGATTCCTCAATTTAACAGGATTAACAGGATCAGCTTAGTTTAATGAAGCTGTGACATCTTTTTTTTTTTTTTTTTGACAAATATATTTGAAAGATTTGTAGCATGAGTGTATGCTTTAAACTTGCATGTTTTTTTTTTTATTGGTTGCTCCAATTACACAAATGATGTCATTATTTGCTTTTTCTTGTGATACAACACCAAATTGCATCTAAAGTAATTGTTAAACATTCTATGGGCTTGATGATAAAGAATATACTGCATGTGAATTATATTTTATTGTAAGGCAAACACTTTTTAAGCTCCTACGGGCCACACAAAATGACTTGGCAGGCTGCATTTGGCCCACAGGCCTTTAGTTTGACACATGTGACACGGCTACGAAATTAGATAGTGACGCTGTTACAGATTTAAATAAACATAAAAGTTTCTTTAACATTTTATTTTCAGGAGTTGTTCGAAGTCACTTGTCACACATTTTCAATATTAATAGTGAAAAGAAGGGATAGAAATCGCTAAACATTAGCAAACTTTCAGGCCAGATCCCTTTGTTCTATATACTGTAAACATAAATAGGCACAGCAGATATTGCTAAATCACTCCCTTTATGAACTATGGTACTTTGTTCTGCTATTCATCAGGGGTCATGCTTCTGAACCCATTCACCTCTATCCTGACACTTGCTGTTTGCTTCATCCGCTTAAAGCTGCCAACATACGGTGTTTGCTCAACAACACGGCTTCAGTCAACGTCTTAAGAGACTTTCTACCTGCAAATCACCTGTGACAGCTGCTGGTAATTACAGTCAATTAATCATCTGTGATTCACTCACTCTTTAGCTCTGTATTCCCCACAGTGTAAAGGACATGACTGCCCCTTAACACCAGCACCAGGGAGTGGAATGTTGGGGTTATGAAGAGCACGTCACAGAGGCTTGCACTTGCTTGCGGCGTGAGATATGAGTAAGTTGAAGATTAGTTTCACATTAATTTCTTGAGAACAGCGGTGAGAGTTAAAAGAGAGGGATTAAGTTGTAAATTAACCGCTGCCAAAGTGTTTGTCCACCGCCTGCCTAATATACTTGTGTTCTTTGTGTCTGATTTTTTTCTCTTCTCCCATTTCAATTTACCGTATTTTCTGGACTATAAGTCGCACTTTTTTTTCATCCTTTGGCAGGGTTTGCGACTTATACTCAGGTGCGACCATATTAAAATATATAGTTTCACATTTTGGTTTTTTTTCATCCTTTGGCTGGGTTTCCGACTTATATTCAGGTACGACTATATTAAAATATATAATTTCACATTTTGGTTGTTTTTACACTGACAGCCACTAGAGGGCACTCTAGGCTTGTGTACCAGTATCTGCTACTCCTGTAAGTCACACTTATCCTTTGGCTGGTGCAACTGGCACTCCGAATCGACTTATAGTTCGGAAAATACGATACTTAATTTACACTCTTTAATTTTGATATGTCTGCCAACAAAGTTTGTTTTTTTTTCTTTTTGATTCCTTGTTTTTGGCTTTTGAGGATTTTACTTGAAGCTTCTCATACGTGCTTCCGTTTTTGCTGTAAATGTCTTTATCTGTGTCAAAACTAAAACCTTTTTAACCCAGTATTGCATTTAACTAATTAATGATTGACCCGAGTCGCAACTCCAACCCATGTGTTCTTGTTACGTGTTATGGCACTAGACGTGACACTTAATCTGTCAAAATATAAAACATAAACAAATTAACATTAATGTTCAAGGTGGAATGTTCTAGAAAAACAAGGGATTGAAAAAAAACATATTTGTCTTAAACACGGTTTTACTCCATGTCTAACTCACGCACAGATGTATCTAGCAATACATATATAATATATAATATATACATATGGATTCTAGCTATTTACATGCATGACAATTAGCGCAATATAAACAATTAGCGCAATATAAACACTGTTAATGAATAAATCCATGTAAACATCACCTATTGACCCGCACTATGGTAGATGTGTTGTACTGTAACATATGTTACAGTGAAAAATATTGATTATATGTGATTCTATATTTAATCTTTTAAATGTAGCTAGATCCCTTTAGCCTGGTCATTAAAGCCAAAAACAAACCCCCCCGTGTTAGAGTAACAGTCTTTATTAAAAACTTGGCCTTTTTCTGTTTTGCCTCCTGATTGGGCAACTTGAGTGTCATATTAGCCTCAAGGGTTATTTACTTTAATTTGCTCATTTAGTCATAGTTATGCTTTCTCTTCTCACCCTAGCATTATCCCGACTTGTTCCTGTTCACAAGAGACATCCAATAAGACTGCAGTAGTTGTCAAAACAACAAACCTGTTTTTAAATTTTTTTTATTTTTAAAGACAAATCAATGATGAAAGCAAATGTCTTTCTATAACAAATATTATTATTGGTGACAGATGTTCCCCTCTCCTGTTTTATATGTATGTGCCATACGTGCAGTGACATTACCACGTATGGCACATACGTGGCCCTGTAAAATCTGATTCAGGAATTACATTCAGAGAGAATCCTTTCATTCACCGAGTTACCAGGACAACCTTTGCAGCCCTCAGTTTCCATGGCTACTGTAGCAGCCTCCTCATTGTCAGTGTTGGAAATTAGTCCAGCTATGGCTGCATCCTTGAACTGCATACAGAATGTCTACCATCTGAATGCTAAGCACATGACTTGCTTTTTTTAAATTTTTTTTATAAATGTTGAAATGCATGTCCATTAGAGCACGGTTAGTGCCCCAGCATGTGTGTCCAATAACCCATACTTTTGCTTGTCCCCAGTTCATACAATTATGTTAGTAACATAAAAAGAAAACGTGTCAATGAACCAATGCTGGAAGAAAAATCATAGTTACTTCATTACTCAACAAGTATAACATATATTCATGTTATTAAATGGTGATGGAAAATAATTATTTGTTATTTAGTCAGATTTAGGTCTCTTGAATTTTCTATAATTTTAACTTGTGCTACAAAGATTCTAGAAGTGGAAGTGAATAGGTGAACAGGGACCTCGTCAGCTGTATTTAAAATTATCTGATGGTCAGGTTTTTTTTTTCCACCTTTGACAAAAAAACAAATGATTTCCTCCATTAGACTTTTTATTTTTCTGCAGTTACTGTCTAAATTGAAGGTTTTCTGTTAGGTCCGTGCCACTACGTTCTATTAGACTCACCCGTATTTAGATGATATTTGATGACAACGGATTGTTGTTAACAAGAGTTGGCATTTATACTGTGGCACGACTGCCACCTTCTGGATGCAGGTGTAAATGAGAATTTAATTTTTCAAAGGAACAAATGTCCTAATTGATACATATGTTCTTTTAGGGCGTGGGTTTTTTTAAATACATTTTAATATGATTTTGGCTAGCAGTGTTCTTTCTTTCTATTCCTCTGCTGTTCTCCACTAACCACTTTTAATCTGTTTTTTTTTTTTCACTCTAAAAGCAAAGGGAGGATAAATGATTTTCCAGGATAACTCAACTGTTTCCAGTAACTTATTTCTCATTTAACAAATGTTTTCAATGACTGGAAAAAAAGTTCAATAATTTTCCAGGACACGTGGTAACACTGCAACTGTCCTTAAAAAGAGCAAGAACAGTCCCTTGTAATTACCCAGCCTAACTTCCTGATTCTCTTTTAAACACCTGATCCAGACATAGACAAACAAGCATAAGGTTCATTATGAACTCCTCTAAAAGGTGCGGTTGTTAGGATGTGTTAATATTAAGAGAAACCTGTTCAAACATCTCATTAGTTCTACATTAAAAGATAACTTTTTTTTTAAGTTTTACTACAAAGCTCAATGACTAACATCCGTGTTGTTGACAATTCCATTCTTACATTTTACAACACAATAAAGTGAAACAGTCTTCGTGTCCGAGTTCAGGCCTGCAGATTGAAGCCCCGTGCTGCACTGAGCACGTCGTCCCTGGTCAGGTAACATCCACACAGTTGCCTCAGGCCTGTGAAGGACTCCCTCCCGTGCATGACACGCCAGTTGTCTATAAAAATCACCTGGTGAGAAACAAAAAAGGAAAAGGGAATCCTTAGATTGACCATCATTTAAATTAGAACGAAGACTTTCTTTTTACTACATAGAGTAGTGTTGTAGGTACGTCTTGACTAAAATCAGGGTTTGAGTCCCATTGTCATTCTGAAGTTTTGAAATGTGGCTCTTGAAATAAGTGGTGATAAAAAAAAATGCTATTAACATTATATTGAGAACTAGTTCACTGATGTTGCTGTATGTTTTTGTTTCCGTCACAGACCAGCGCCTCCGAGAGAGGAACACCATCTGCCGCAAACTTTTACAAAGACCTCGTCACCATTATGAACAACAAGGTCTACAAAGAACGTTTGTGAGTCTCTGAGTCTTTCTTTGTTTGTTCTAACATAAGGGACATAAGGGACAACAGCTTCATTACTGTTCTATACCTGGTCAAAATGTCGAACGTTTTCACACTGACAGCCACTAGAAGGCACTCTCAGCACGTGTACCAGAATCTGCTACTCATGTACCACTGAAAATGTACATGTTCGTTATTTTCACACTGATAGCCACTAGAGAGCACTCTAGACTTGTGTACCAGAATCTGCTACTCCTGTAGGTCACACTTTGTACTTAATTAACGTTGAAAAGAACAACTATACTCATCCCTTACCTAAGCCCAAATGCTCAACACATTTTTGCGCGACATGCCGTAAACATGGACAATCTCAGCAACAGCAGCCTGTGGCATGCTGATGGACATGATATCGATATCAGCAGACACTACGAGTTGTAATAACGCTATAGGTATCTGACACAAAAAAAGCTGTATTGAGCCATTTCTACATCATGTTGCTCACATATTGCTAGGTCAGGCATGGGCAAACTAAGGCCCGGGGACCAGAGACGGCCCACCAAACTTTTCCAAATTATATAATTTACTTACATTATCATTATAATTTACCTTTAATACCCACGTTTCCCCAATAGACGGCATGGAAAATGATAAAAGCACTCCATCTACCTGTCAAAAAGTTTGCCCACGCCTGAGCTAGGTTAATGCACTAGTTGGGCCAACATTCAGAAATAATTAGAGCAAAGTGAATTTAGGTTAAAATAAAAATGTATCTGAAGACTAGGCTTAAGAATGTATCTGCTATTTACTACAACACTAGTCCATTCTTAAAACTTCTGTAAGTAGGGACTGACTGTTGCTAACATAAACAAATGGAAGTTCTTACTTTGCCCGGAGTCAGTTTAACCCACAGCTCATTCTCAGGTTGCCTCAGTACAGTTGTCAACTCTCGATGCGCCACATACCATTGTTTAACAACATCATGAGGCACTGTGTTAATCACTGACCGATCATAGTTGTTGTATCTGTTGGAGGACAAAAAAAAAAAAAAAAGTGTATGTTAAAATGACATTTTCCGAAATACGTGACCGAAATAACGCAATAATAAATAAGAACACATTCCTGATCATGTAAACCTCGTTGTTCCAAGGATAGACGTTAAGCACGGGGCCTATGCCGTGCATGTGATTCCGATGGTTGTCGCTGTTTTCTATGTACTCATGTCTGATAGGCACATTGGTCAGGAGCTCAAAGTTTTTGGGTGACTGCTGACGTAGTTTTTCTGCAGCGTGGAATCCATCCACGAGCAGAGTTCTACCCCCAGTCCCATCATGTTTTAGGCAGTGAAATACCTGTATTCTGGAAAACAAATTAAAACACTGGCAATGTTAGCAACATTGGAAGACTTTGAGAGTCTTCACCAGTCCACTCCGTCTTGGACTTACCCACAAGGCTCGTAAAAGTAGGAGGTATCAGTATGACGATCCAGAGCCAGCTGACTGTAGGCCGTGTCTCCTCTGGAATGATCAGAGGTAAAACTCCACATCCCACCATATGTGGTTTCCCTTAGAGACACAGAAAACACAGTTTAACACATTGGCTAAAACACAAGGAGAAAAATACTGTCAAATGTCTGCTATTTGTTTAAACACAGTTCTAAATGTAGACTAAATGAAGTTTAATGCATAATAGATTTGACTTACTTAACTTAAGGAGAAGGTCATTGGGTTATTTTTTTTTTAATTTATTTTATTTAACCCACCATTTTTATTTTTATTGTTATTATTGGTTAATTATTTAACCAAGTAATCAGGACCATTAAATGTTTCTTTCATTATTTTCAAAAATACTTGTTCCTATTTTTAAAAATAATTCTAACTCAACACCAGGTCCAAACAGTACATTTCAACCTTGGTACATTTTTTAACAATCTAATAAAAAAAAATACCGTCGTTGCCTGAGTGACATTAGCTCTTAAATGGTTACTACAGTGAAATAAATTTTCGCTCTACTTGATTATATTCCAACCCTCCTGCTGTAAAACAGCAATCTGAGGAAAAGAGAGTGTATTCCTTGCTATTTTTTTGGGGGGGGTTAAAACTGCAATAATGTGGCTGTGTTCCACCTGCTCGACTATTCTGATTTCATCGAATGTCACAATAAAGCATGTGGTACCTGATAAGACTGACTCTCCTGACAACAGCCTCTGTAGCCTCCACTGTAGCAGGCACATTGTCTACAAAAGCGATCCCATACAAGATGTAGTTGTGGAGAAATTTCTTGAGTTCATCATCACGGCTCATGAACGTCTCCCATTTCGCCGGCGCTATGTTGGCGTTGTTGTAGACGTCTGAGTTCCACAGGATGCGTGGCTGGACAGTGCTGGTCTTCTTGCCTTCGTAGCTGTTCTCAGACAGCCAGCTAAGACTGTATTGAGAGACCTGGCCACCAGGCCCTAGGACAAAGACAAGGGGACACGTTTTTATGAGGTGCAGCTAATAGAAGATTAACTCACTAAAACTGTATACTTTCATGTTTTCTGAACTTCAATCTATCAGGGTTATAATATTCTCACCCACTCTCTACCAGTGCTTGAGCGGTCAGATAAAGTACTGTGTACTGAGAACATTGCAGGAAAGTTTGGTGCTAACTGTTCAGAACGAAACTTCTGATTCATCTCTCTCCATTGCTACTGGAGGGCAATAACTCTACGTTTAAAAAAAACATAAAATGTGATTAAAGATGGCTCGTGAAATTGCAAATGTAGCAGAGAGTTTAACATAAAATGTACTTTTGACTCTTCTGTAAACATCGTTCTACTGTGCGAATGCAGTAGAACAGGGATGGAGGAATTGGAACAAGAAGAGAACACACAGTTTGGAAAAGGCAGTAAAGACATTAGCATTTAGCCCCCTGCAGCTGTTCTCTGCATCATGTGTGCGTTTATGCCTGTGTGCTGTAGTACAGGTGCAACAGGCCTCGACTGTTAAGACTTTTTCTAGGAAAACGGTGTAGTTTCATGAATATAAATGAACCGGCAGGGAAATACAGAAATAACAATAGCTGGAGCTGCAGCGGAATTAAGGCTGAATTTGAATTTTGATCATAAACAACTATGTTTACTATTCTGTCCCAGGTGTTTGCTACTTTCACCCATGGACTGCTAGGTTTGGCTACCGCTCCGTTCACAGCCCTGAGTCGAATGGCACCTAAATGGACGGATGAATAGACAACAACATGTTTCCCAGGAGTTTACGAATAATGTCTATTGTCTAATAGTTTGTGACTTTTAAAATATGGGTCCCCAGAAAAAAAGGTTTGGGAAACATTGGTCTAGAGAGCTACTTCAAGGGCACTTAGTAATACGAACAGCTACTTGTCTGATACAGACTTCCTGAACAATGTGCAATATTTTACGGTCTATAAGTCACTCCGGAGCATAAGCCAGCTAGAGTGCCCTCTAGCGGCTGTCATTGTGAAAATATCGAACATGTGAAGTTATACATTTTAATATATAAGTAGCACCTGTGTATAAGTTGTAAACCCAGCCAAAGGATAAAAAAAGTGTGAGTTATAGTCTGGAAAGTATGGTAATAAAAAGTCCTTGGAAATACAATAGCAGACACCATTTGAATATCATTGCAAGTGTAACTGATTCAAAAAGACAATTTTGATCTTCATGTTGACTAGTTTTGTTTTTCGACCTTAGGTAGTCCATGGGGGCTACCAGGTGCATATATCTGGGGTGTCTCAAAAGAAAATAATTTTAATTTCTCTTCAATCTCGAGAGTTGACGATGGTATATGGTAGAAAACTATTATTTTGACCAGCAGAATAAACTTATAGTTAGGACCTTGTTGTAAAGTTATATTTAGCGCAATATCACATGGTTCAGGAATTGACCACATGCACTCGTTCTATGAGTAGTGCTTGAGTGGAGGCAACTGTAGACCAGGTCCAAAATAACATAACATACTGCAGACTTACAGGTAAGAATAAGGTTGTCATCCTTCACCGCTGTGTGGTCAGGGCGGATGTCCAGGTCAATGCTCCCAGTGTCTATATTCCTTTGGTTGGTTTTGTTGTTGTAGGAAGATGCGGAGCGGCAGTGGTCACGGAGCCACACGTAGTTCAGATGCATTAGGGTACCGCCATAGTTGACCACTTGTGGTATCAGAACCAGAATATGTCTCAAAGTTTTTGCTTATCAGCACAAATGACCGGAGCAATCGCATCATAATACTCACCAAGATGATCCTCTTTTAAAAGAGGGGCAGCAGCAGCGGGGGCAACGCATGCGCGGGTCTGCAACTTGTGTCCCAGTGGAGACCTCAGAACAGGGGACTGCTGTGCCTGGTTCAGTGTACGTCGAAAGTTCTTGCACAGAAAAGCAAACATCCTTTGCGGGATTTATGTCAAAGAATAAGGAGTTAAAATATTTATCAGTCCGAGTTCACCGTGCTGTCTCGAAATCCAAGAGAAACTCTGGCGATTCCTTTGCTCACCGCCTTGGACTGTCTGCGGTTATGTCAAATAGTTACAGTTTCCAACAACCCTGATTAATATTTGACAAACTGTGCATCTCGTTATCTCATCTAAACCAGGACAAGACAGACGTAGAGGAAAAGACGCTGAACTTTCCGCGCTTTCCTTAAATTCTGCTGCAGAATTTACTTAGCACTACGGGGTTGAGGGCAGGCGTGTGCGTAGGGACCGTCCACAAAGTGCTACAACGGAAAATAATGCGCCGTGAACTGGCGCTTAAAAAAAAACAAAACAACAACAATAATAATAAAGAAACATAAGGACCCATGGAAATGGAAATATGCCAACATCCACACTGTATTGGCTTAACGTGTAGGGTTGTTGTTTTTTTGTAGGGTGCAACGTCTACGTAGTTGCACATTTATGGATTCCACCGTCCACAAAGTGCTACAACGGAAAACGATGCACCGTGAACTGGCGCTTAAAAAATAAAAAATAACAACAACAATAATAATAATAAAGAAACATAACAGCCTTGTTCATTACAATATCTGATATGGCAACTATCGTTAAGGACCCATGGAAATGGAAATATGCCAACATCCACACTGTATTGGCTTAACGTGTAGGGTTGTTGTTTTTTTGTAGGGTGCAACGTCTACGTAGTTGCACATTTATGGATTCCTAAGAATTCGATGCTTGACAGACCAGTTGCACAGTCTTCCCACTGATCAAAGAAAAAAAAAACGTTTAACCTACACTTCAAGTTCTTCTTCACTCCTGATGATATGTTCAATAGGTTAGTTTTTATGGTGGAGTACAACATCCTGAACACAGCATGCAGTTTAAAAAGCCCATAACAGATCTGTTCCGGTTATTGAAATACAATTCTGGAACTTAACAATCTATTCTGTACATGTCTTCTCTCTCAAAAACATAACTATCTGAATCAGGGTTCACATACAGTCTATTTTGTTGCACCTAATGATGTAGCCTTTGCTTGGGCTGCTGGGTCACTCTACCCCATTGTACTGGAGAATTAAAGGCCTCAATACATTTTTGACAGTTATTTTTAGTTACAAGTTTTTATATATAATTTTAAAGGAGAAAATGTATCTTTTTCAAACATACCAAACAATTTTCTCGTGTTGTACTGTTTGTGCACTGCCTTTATGATTGAGATAGAATGACGTATTTACTTGTTGGTAATAAAATATCAGAATTAACGCATTTAATGACCAGAACTCTCCACCAAGTCATCATTTTTGGATCACAGTGTTTTCACACGAACCCATAATAGACAAACTACACATGTTTAGTCATAACTGAAGCAAACTGCTAAAATGGAACTGATCCTATAAAAAAAAATTGTATATTACACAATCACACCGCGGCTTAGTGTTCCATCATATTTAATGAGCTGCTGCGAGATTACCGTTAACTTCCGTATAGTGTGACGCTTGAGCCTGCTGTAAACGCTGCGGTAATGGTACGTTTACGTTAATCGGAAATGTGGATTTTGTGGGACTTCAACTCCAATAGCCTTTACTCTGTCTTCTTACTTTTTCTTACTTTGTCATCTCAGACAGTGGTCATTTTAATTATGATTAATCACACGACAACAGTAGACGTGCGGTGTTTAAAACAACTGCCATGTGAAATGTTACTTATCGTCTACCTTTAGGACAGAAACGAAGGCATAAGATGAATACCGCATAATCCATCAGACGGGTTAGCAAGAGAAAATATTATTGTTTACTCAAGCTATAAAGGTTTAGAGGATTGTTTATGTGACATATTCTACTCCCAACTAAAGGGACGATATCTGTTACATTTATTCAAGCATAAACAAAAACAAAAGTCGAAATGTCATCTCAGCCGATAAGCCTGCTGAAGAAACGAATGCTGTGATTTCTGAGCTCAAAAGTGAGTCCGCGAATGCAGCACACCCTTCCTCTTCAGCAGTAGGCAGTAGCATGTTTACCTGCTTTGTCAGCCGACTCCCTGCAGTTTTTTCTGTGATTCTCGTCTCATACTGCCACAAACCTTGGACTTTGGCCGCGGCTTTGGTTTGCTCCAAGGTCTTTATCAGCAATTCTATCTTGCAAAGGCGTTGTTATTATAAATTTTATTCCCCCTTACTGCTGCCAGGGGCTCTCGGGGACTTTGAACGGGAGAACACAGAGTCCATAGTTTTTTCCTCTGATTTTTTTCTTACTTCCTCCAGCGAACAAGGAAAGATGACGTTAAAGTCCAATAAAAACGAAGCTGCTGTCATTCTGGAGCCTGTCAGCAGTGTTCGCTCAGCTCTCTCCGACCTCTACCTGGAGCAGCTTCTTCAAAACAAACCAAAGTCTGACAAGGTATGACGTTGGTCTCGACCGTTTTAACCATATTTAATTTTCCTATGAAAAACATCTGTGTGTCGTGGTGTGCTTGTTTGTTTCCGGGAAGTGGCTATGGGGCACATGACCGTTGTTTGTTCATCGAGCAGAATCACTAAAAATAGGCTGAGCATCGCCGTCCGCACAATAACAACTCACTTAACTGTGTCCCATTTCATAATCTGCGTGGTGGTTGTTTGTTCGAGCACCTGTCTGAGCTGTATTCGATATTTGCACACTCAGCTTTTGTCTGTACAGACAAGTCGCTGGCAGTTTCACATCTTCATTTACGCTACAAGATGTATGGTGAAAATCACGTGACATAAGGGGGAAACGGGGCTAATGACTCAGTCAAATGGTCGATTAGTCGATAATAAGTAAACGGTAGAAAATTAATTTAAAGCACTTTAAAGCATTTTATAGACTTAACGCAAGTCGATAATAAGTAAACGGTAGAAAATTCATTTAAAGCACTTTATAGACTTAACGCAGTTTTTAAATGCAATACCAATTACTTAAAAGACAGCTAAAGTGATATTTTATCATGTTTACTACATGCTTTTTACAAGTGGTAGCAGTGTCTTTCCCCCCTTGAGTACATGGTACAATGGAACACTTTAAAGTAAAGTTAGTGTGTTGTGTTATTTCCGTCTGAACCTATGCTTGTATTTATATGATTGCTGCCACAAGCGTTGTTTATTTCATTGTGCTTTATTCAATTTTTATTATCCAAATTTTAACTATCAAAAAGACCAAAATTTTGGCTTTGTCTTTGCTCCAATGTTTTTTCATTTACTTGGCATTTTTCCCCCTCATATCAGTAGACTTTATCGTGATCAGCCTCTTAAACTGACATTTTGGCAATGTTTTTTTTTTTTTTTTTTTATCACCGTAATGATTATTTGTAAAATTACTGTCCTCCAGGCAAGGTCACATGTTTCATTATCACACACGTGATGAGTTATAGTTTGTACTATTTTTCTTAGATAAGTTGACCCTTCTCGGTTTAATAGTGATTTGTTGGGTTTTTTTTAAATGTAGGTTTGTATTGATTTGCGACCGTTCCATGAAGAGATCAATATATCTTCTCCTGTTTCCAACCCAAATCCCACAATTTAATTATTGATGCAAAACAAATTTCAGAAAAACTGCGGTTTTTACTCAACTAGATTGAGCCCAAATCTAATCAGTCATTTGTAGATAGTAGTAATCGAGGATATAACAATACGTGTGAGATCTTACTATTTAGCTTAGTTCTGTATAGATGACTAGAATACACTGACCATGCTGTGGTTAATCATTTTAAATGTGTTCAGATAACGACTTAATGTCTCCGAAGCTGTCTGTTCTATCTTTTGATGTTTCTTTTAACCTTTCAGTCAGCGGTTTCTGTCGACACCAACGTTGGTTTTCAGGTTTGTGAAAGGTCTATTCTATTGATTGTTAAAACTGAATGGAAAATAGTGAGTCTTAATCAGGGTCTGTTTGCCCTTTTCAAGGTGATTGTCCGTGATTAGACACATTTAAAACGGATGACCTTTCAGTGCTGTTGCAAATCTGAGGACGTGTTACAATATTACAAGATCAATACAATCAAACTATAACAAACTATAACAGTCAAACTATATACGTCTGTCCTAGCTGGATGTAGATAAGCAGAAGCAAAGACAACGTGCACGCACAAGAGGGAGACGATTTTGAAATACATAAAAGTGCTGAGTACACGGAAGAATTTTTATTGCTGAGTATCAGGGGGGAATCCTTTTTTTTATAATGATGGAATGTCAATGAATGCAATTAATAAATAGCAAATGTAATTTATTTATTAGCGTATTATAGCTGTGAAACTGTGCCAGATTTAAATAGTTTGCCTTCTCTAAGATTTCTTATATATATTGATAAATTAGTTGTTAATTATGTTTCTTATTCTACTTTTCTTCCTCCTCCTCTTCTTCTTTTTCTCTTACCAAATGCATTTTCCACATCAGTCATGAAAATGTCAGTTTCACTGTTAGGAGACTTGGCTGATTTTCAACAGCACTAGTGTCTCAAATTAGAGAAAGTAGACTAGTTTGATGATAAATGATAAATAATTAATTATAAAAATAATATTAAAAAATTGACAAAACATTTGCGTGCATGTATTAATATGTGTTTTAAAGAACAATGATCAAGCAATGAGAACGCAACTAAAACCCTATCACCAGCCGTATAAATGATCCTCGTGTACTTTGTCCAGACCGTGTTCTTGTTATCTCGGGCGATTTTGCTCAACACTCACCTTCACTCTATGAGTGCAATTTCATCCTTTCAAAGTTTTCTCCAAGTTCTATTTTGGTAGATAGCTGTTGTGCTGCAACACACCGGTGTGCAGTAGAGCTAACAAATACGCAGGGACTTATAGACTGTTATGCTGCACTTTCAGATTAAAAGGTTTTTTAAGTTCATAAATGCTGCGAGACAAGCACTTTTTAAAGACAGCTGTCCAACCACAGTGTGGTTATGAGTCGGGGCTGAGGTTATGAGATGGTGACAAAGATATTTATTGGTTTATTGTACCGCTGGTGCTGGCAGATAGATAATTTTTTTTTTCTTGTTGTTGAAAATCTGCTGATCTGTTGAACTGTTTTGCTGATGCAGGAAACGGTCCCAGTTAACTGGCCTGTTTCTGAACTCTTTAAAGTCCTTGTGTGTGCAATTTGAAAGGCACATTCTATCATTCTACAGTTTTTTCTACTGCAAATCACACACACAAAAAATGCACCTATCCTTTGGGAGCAGTGGGGAAAAAGGGACGTTTTTTTGTGTTGCTTGCTTAACATACAAGGGTGGGGTTCAAACCAGCGATCTTTAATCGTAATAAGCCTGATTTCTCCTACTGCTGCAGTTCCCTAAAATAAAAGAAAGATTTGAATAGGAACCCCAGAAAATGTTGTCCTGTTAAACCAGCATGTTTCTTTTTTTTAAAGAATCATTCATCCGGTTTACATTTTGATCAAAGGCGCTAAAAGATAATTGCGGAATCTTTTGTTTATTTACTCCTAAATGGTATAGTACAACTTTACAGTCATTTTATGAAAATATTTGAATATACATGTAATGACTTATTTATTGATTTGTTAAATGCTCAAATTAAGTTTCCTTTGGATGCGAAGAACTGATGACTTGTGGTATCCATGACCACATGAACCGGGTGGACCTGAGCACTCGATGAGTTTAATGAGGTGTTATAACACCGGGTTAATTTTCAACCCTGGACATATGTCGAAACTGTGATTGAAACATCGCTGTTTTTGTTACACATTAAGCAGCAGTTACTTGAAAGCAGGCACAGATTTTACTTTTGGCCTTTTCCAGTATAGATACACAACTTGTATTTTTATTTTAAAGCACAGCATGTCTCATAATAACTTTTTTTTTTTTTTTTTTACAGGGAGCTATGCAAGCCCAGGAGAATAAAGGAGCTGCGGATTATGCCAACGGCGGCGCTGGACACATGAACGGCACGGAGTCGTCAAGAATGAGAGAAGTGGCATTCGAAAAGAACCCATCAGAACCAATAACTTCCCAGCTTACACACACACACACACACACAGGCTTGTTCAGCTATTCTTTTCAGGACTTAGGCCTAGGCAGAACCTTTTCCTGGTTCTGTTTTTGTTGCTGACTCGTCTTTCTGACTGTTTCCTGCAGGGGGTCACGCTGAAGCTGAACGAGAAACAAAGGTGCACAGTGGCGAGAATATTACATGGAGGCATGATTCACAGACAAGGTCATTAATCACCCTAACAGTTACAAGATATATATATATATATAAAGTAAAATACATACATACAAACTCACCAGATCATCTTCAAACTCGCCAGATCATCTTCAAAAAAAAGTAGAATATGCCCAAAATTTCTCTGCACTTTTTCCTCACATAATCCTGCTTCTATGACCCCATTTCTCCAAAGACTCCATTTGGTCCTCGTACATACCACATACCACATCCACATGCTCTCAGTTCACACCACGTTCCATCACTGTCATGTGCACTTTTCACTCTCTTTCTTGAAACTCACTTTTTTTTTTAAATCTGCGTCTTGTATATATGTGACCTGTAAATATGTCAGTTTTAAAATCTTGATGCAAACCACTCTTTAAAAAAATGATTATTTTAAGAAACTGTATCACTAGTGAGAAATCAAGTCAAGTTGAGGAAGCAGATCTAAAGTATGACAGCAGGTGGCTCCCAGGGTTGAGTCTTAGCTACACACTACTGGCACAACTACTTTTGTTTTACAGTCTGTAAGAGCAAGCTTGTATGTATTTTGCTGGTTTGAATGCCGTCGATTCTGACTGTAGACACCTCTCACAAGTACACGTACACTTTAATATGGCCATGAAAACAATAAAGGTACAGCTGTTCTGCTGTCTTCAGGGGCAGTGGTGGCTTGGCGCTTAAGGAAACGAACTCGAGTCCACCAGCTCCCAAGTTACCACTGAGCACCGTCCCCTCAAACTGCTCCCCGGGCAGCTTAAAGCTGCCCACAGTTCACTTTGGTGATGGTTTAAAAGCCGAGGTCGCATTTCATTGTGTGCAGTGGTGTGCTGTGTCACAATGACAAGTAGTTCACTCTCCTTCTTCTCTACAAGCTCTTTACACGAAGGGGATGAAATAACAGAAATCAATGGGAAAACTGTAACAAACCAAAGCGTTGACCAGCTCCAGAAAATTCTGGTTTGTTAATGCTATTACAGTATTTTGTAAAAAAAAAAAAAACAACTACGCCACATGGGAATCTTGGTTATTTTTTTATTTTTGTTGTTGTCTTTTTTTTACAGAAAGAAACCAGCGGTGTTGTAACAATGAAGATCATTCCCAATCTGCAGAGTCACTCCAAAGCCTGTGAGGTAATACTAAGTGTAGCAGAACATGGGCTGGTCTTTTTTTCTTTCTTTTTAGACTAAATTGAATCTTGACATATCTGGGGTTTTTTTTCTATTTATCTTTTTCCTTTTTTTAACTTTTTGAAGTGTTTTTGCTCTTTATTAGGTGAATCTTCTATTAGTCAGTGAACAATCAAGGTGACTATAAAAATGAATGACATCACTCACATTAGCGTCGCTAGTTTATGTCTAAAAACTCTGGTAGTGTGTTTTCCAATTCCGTCATGATACTACAAAGTGGTTGCTGAATTGAAAGCGTACATTTAAAGGGTCCATTGTAGCAACGTTAATAGGGATTCTGACCCAAATTCAATCTTTCACAATGATTGAATGTTTGCTCGGCTGCAGCTTTAGAACAAGCCTTTTATGACAATTTAAACAAAGGCAAAGTGCTTACTTTTTCAGTTCCAGTTATCTAATGCCTAAATTATAATCTAATAAAATAATAGGAGGCTGCTCTTTTTGTAGAAAAGGAGGGTTGTGAAATCATCATTTCTCACGTGTAAAAGCCAGTGCTACTGATGCAGTTCATACATTGATATTTCGCAGATTTCTACCCAATGGATCATTTAAAGAGCTTTTAACTCAGTGGCCACAATGTTATACTGACTACTAGTAATGGAAGTGGACCTAAATAAACGGTAGGGGTTCTTTTAGTATTTACATAAGTAACCACAAATTCCACAATATGTATACTGTACTAACATAGCGGGAAGTTTTATATATGTGTAAGTGTGCCAAGCTATGATCTTGGTGGTTCAATCAGGTTGTGCCAGTGTCTCTCCAAAGGTACCAGTACTGAAGATGCAGCTAACGTATTCTCTCATATACCGTAATTTCTGGGCTATAAGCCTCTACTTTTTTTCCACACGCTTTGGACCCCTTTTGGTAGGCTACTGTGTGTTAAACTGGTAGCACATGTCGATCTGTGCGTTCAATTTTCCCGGAAATTATGGTATATGGAAACACTTTGCATCTGCATAATTGGTTACTTTTGACTGTACAACAAATCACTAAGATTGTAAGTAGACTTGGTCATTGAAAAACAGGGATGTTGTTATCAAAAGAAGAAATACAACCTGTATTTAACCTGTACTTATTTCTTGCTTACTTACATGTACCTACTTACTAACCTAGTTAGTAACTTAATTATGTACTTTCTTACTTATTTAGATACCTGCTTAGTCTGAGATATAAGGTTTTTTAGACCTGGGTACTTTACGTTTTGACATTCTGACAAACAGAGCTACATTTCTGGTTCAGCGTGATTGCCCAACATTTTGAGTGGCAATTGACTGACATTTTGTCAACCCTGACAAATGTCACAATAAGGATTGCTATCAGTCTGAATATAATTTTAAACAATAATTTAAAAAAAAAATAAAAGAAGAAGGTTGAAATTCTGAATTCTGAAATCTGGAGGTCATTTTTGAACATCAGTGTCTAAAGCTTGTTTGGGGTTTTTTTTTTTTCAATGGTAACTGTGTATAACTACTACCCAAGTACACATTCTTCTTTACCACACTGCAGGAGGTTGTAATTCTAAAAATAGTTTTAAACGACACATTGTACATGCCAACATCAAGACAAAAAATCTTTTACTTCTGCATATTTTTCTTGCAATGTTTCCATATTATTAATTCTATAATTTGGATTAGCCATAAATAAAAACAGTTGTTAAACACATACATCTACCTGCTGTTATCAGTCTTTCTGTTCCAGCAATATACTGGGAAAAAAAATTCTTGTCATATTTAGGGAATGTTGATTGATGTAAATTATAAATGATCAATTATCATCATGATTAATCATGAATAGTATATTAATCATGAATACACAAATAATCATGACAAATTAAACTTGATCCCACACTGAGGCAATTGTTGTGTTAGCAGCAGATCTGCTGCGACAGGCTGCCCCTTGGAGGAGCCAAGTGTGTGGTTCATCTGGGGCATCATGGGACAATCAGAAACATGACCTCAGGGCCTATTGTTTTAAGAGAAACCGTATACTTTTGACCTTTTGCCTCATTAATGTCAAATAAAAGCAAGGTGTAAGAAATAACAACAAAATAATGTAAAGCAATTTAATGAAAAATACTGTATCTGTGTTTGAGTACAGATGGTTCATTCATTTACTGTCGTTGGTTTCCACTTGCAGATGTACATGAGGGCTCAGTTTGCCTATGACCCCATGAAAGATGACCTCATTCCATGTAAAGAGGCAGGTCTGAAGTTTCAGACTGGGGACATCATTCAGATCATCAACAAGCAGGACCCGAACTGGTGGCAGGGGAGAGTGGAGAGCGGCACTGCTGACTTTGCAGGACTGATTCCATCTCCGGAGCTCCAGGAATGGTAAATATCTCCACTGTATTCCCAATGATTAATTCAAATGACTCAAAGACAAAGAAATGTAGTCTTGATTTTAAGTTTAAGAAGTTTAGCCTTTATTTCCCTAGGGGTTAATAAAGTTGTATCTGTCTGACTGACTGGCTGTCTGTCTGACTGACTGCCTCTCTGTCTGATTATCTTTCTGTTTGACTGTCTGTCTATTTGACTGCCTGCCTGCCTGTCTGTCTGACTGTCTGCCTGTCTGTCTGCCTGTCTGTCTGTCTGTCTAATTGACTGTCTGTCTGTCTGTCTGACTGCCTCTCTGTCTGATTATCTTTCTGTTTGACTGTCTGTCTATTTGACTGCCTGCCTGCCTGTCTGTCTGACTGTCTGCCTGTCTGTCTGCCTGTCTGTCTGTCTGTCTAATTGACTGTCTGTCTGTCTGTCTGACTGCCTCTCTGTCTGATTATCTTTCTGTTTGACTGTCTGTCTATTTGACTGCCTGCCTGCCTGTCTGTCTGACTGTCTGCCTGTCTGTCTGACTGTCTGTCTAATTGACTGCCTGTTTGTCGGACTGTCTGTGTAATTGACTGCCTGTCTGTCTGACTATCTCTCTGTTTGACTGTCTGTCTTTCTGACTGACTGTCTGTCTGACTCTTTGTCTGTCTAATTGACTGCCTGTCTGTCTGTCTGCCTGTCTGTCTAATAGACCACCTGTCTGTCTGTCAGACCAATTGCTCATGAATAATATTAGTAATCAGTGTATTAAGTAAAGTATTGAAATAAAGATGTGTTCTAAGTTCCAATTTTGCACAAAAAATAAAAAATTGTGCTGCAGTCTCAAATGCAGCATATAGCATCCAAATTTAAATAGGTCATTTTTCCAGACATACAGTAATTGGCTAAAGGGCTTTAACAGTGGTTCTGGTGAGAAGGAGGTTTACCGGTACTGAAGGCTGAACTCAGCGCTCACTACCTGTCAGAACCACTTTTCTGAGGCCTATTTCAAGATCTTTTACACTGTTTCTAACTTGCGCGTTGTCACTGCAGGAGAGTGGCAAGTAAGAGCAAAGCCAGAGAAAGCAATCAGTCGTGCAGTCCATTTGGAAAGAAAAAGAAGTGCAAAGACAAGTACCTGGCTAAACACAGCTCCAGTAAGTGAAAAGATAGTCAGTCAACAGACAGTTTATTTATTTTTATTTTATTTTTTTGAATAACATGGGTTTTTCTTCTTGCAGTTTTTGATCAACTGGATGTCATTTCCTATGAGGAGGTTGTGCGTCTTCCTGCTTTCACAAGAAAAACACTCATTCTCATCGGTACGCATGCCATTAACAACTCAGTTCATTCATCCATTTCTAAATTTGACTTATGTGCTCACTCATTTGATTACATTCGGTCTCCGACGAGTCAACCAAGGAGGATTGGATTAAACGTATTACACATGAATGTATAATTAATAAGTGCATGCTTTTTAGGAGCACCTGGTGTCGGAAGGAGACACATCAAACATGCCCTGCTGACTAAATATCCAGAGAAGTTTTCCTATCCTGCACCACGTGAGAGAACACACACACAGCAGCAGCAGCAGCTGAGTTTTCCCTACGTTGTCCTCAAGCTAATTCTCTTCCTGTTTTACACACCAGACACCACCAGACCCCCACGTAAGGATGAGGAGAACGGACAGGAGTATTATTTCATCTCCAACGAAACCATGACTAAATGCATCTCTGAGAATGAACTGCTGGAGTATGGCAGCTTTCAGGGAAACATGTTTGGCACCAAAATTGAAACTATCCAGAAGATCCACGAGCAGGGCAAAATTGCCGTTTTGGATGTGGAGCCACAGGTTGGAATTTGATATCATGTCATGTTACCAAGACTTAATGTTTATTTTTTTAATGTTATTGACTTAGGTCAGTGGTTTTCAAATATTTTCTGTCATGACCCCCCCTTGGGGACAGAAATATTTTCACGCCCCGTGACCCCCTCCAACCCACACCCCTGCAAATTGAAATACTATTGAGAACCTGATAACATGTATTTTTTTTATTTGTATGAGTTGCTGCCACCTAGAGACTGGAGGCTTATCATTCAAGCAGTGGTATTTGTCCAAACTAGTTTTCTCATTCCAATCTTGTTTTCTTGTTCAAGAAAATTCAGTTGTTTTGTATAGTGTGTCCTGTGTTCAAGAAAATTCAGTTGTTTTGTATCGTGTGTCCTGATAATGTTTTGTTTTTGTTTTTTAGTGAAAGTGGTTTAGTTTTGTACTTTCTGTGTTCTAATAGATGTGTTTCTCTTCTCTCTTTCTACATTTTATTTGCAGACACTGAAAGTTTTGAGGACTGCTGATTTTGCTCCCCTCGTGGTCTTTGTTGCTCCCACCAACACAGCTTCTCAGGTGTGTTACAGTCCTTTCCGTACTGTAAAGAAGTGATTGCTGCCACACTTTTACAATTGTAAAGCCCAAGTGTTATACTGGGTTTTGAAAATGTGGTGAATTAGCAACCATGTCCTCAGAACTCACTGTGAAATCTAGCGCTTTACACATCCAGCCCTGTTCAAAGTTCCTCTCTTCATCATTGCCCCATGAATACGTCAGAACTAATGGTTTTAAAAATGCCTCTAATCTACTCCGGCCAAATAACACAGCTTAACAAAGAGGTTTTGTTTGGCAGCTGAATAACTAATTCCACTCAAATATCCTAAACAATCCCACCTTTTGTCTTTTTCTTTCCTAGACGGAAAACCTGCAAATGATCCAGAAAGAGTCTGAGGCCATTCAGGTCACATACGGACACTACTTTGATGTAGTCCTCGTGAACAATGACGTTGATGAAAGTGTCAAAGGTGTAGAGGAGGCCCTGGAGCGAGCCAGCTCCACCCCACAGTGGGTGCCAATATCATGGGTGTACTGACAGCCACGTGTCTCACCTGCCGTACTTAATGTTTAATGAAAAGCAGTGCAATATCACTCTTATTTCAAACAAAAACCTCCTCAGATGTCCCAGATGTGTTTGAGTTTTTCTAAGTAAACGGTCACTGAGATTTTTATTTTGCAAGTGAACCTAAAAGCAATATGTGCAAAATTGTATTTTAGAGAGTTGAGAACCTCAGTAAGACGTGCTTGATCAGGGTGTTTGTGTGTATGTGCTTTAAGTCTTCGGGGATTGTATTGGTGCTGCGCAGATGCACAATAGGACCACAACTGTGAATAAAATCCTAAATTTTAAAGAACAGGATTTTCCCGTGTAAAACACTGATTTTTGGATTGATGGACTTCTTATTAATTGAGCTTATTGGAATGTGCCATGAAACACATACTTTGAAAATTGTTCCGTAACATCATAGAATTATAATGTCACTCAGTCACAGCCTTTTCTAATTGGAAAACCGTAACCGCACTTTTAACAGAAAATAAATTTATCTGCTCTGTCACACCAGTTTTTTTTTTTTTTTTTTTTTTTTTGTGTGGTCTCATACAAAACTTTGTTTGTCAAAACCTTAAGAGAAAAACAAGACAAAACAAAACTAGGGAAAGTTTTTTTTTTATAAGATAGATGGTATTTTATATAATGTAACATTTAAAATTATATATTGACCTATATTTTAGATATGTTTTAAGTTCTATTGCCCGTGAGCTTTATTGTAGCTAAAAGTCTAATTGCCGCTAAACAGGCTTATCTTACAAAGACAAAATATATCATGCTGTGGAAAACAAACATGCAACATTAACTTCGAGGTGTCAACATTTCACCTGTTTCCTAGAGCTTACGTTTCTTGCATTCGTGAGACATAATCCAGATAAATATCTGTTAAATCATGCATTGTTAATATAAATTAGGATTCCTCATGACCTTTGGCTTGTTGAAGATCTCTATAGAAAACAAAAAGCAATACAACAACAACTTTGAACTACATTAAGGACCTAGCGTAAGCTGCCAGGCTAAGGAGTGACAGACCAAGTTAATTAAAAAGGGACCACGAGCCAATAATATCTGCTCAATTTAAGGGCTGCAATTGACTACCGACATCATTTCCATTGTGCATGTCCATGTTTAGTTGGACCAAAGCAACAGTATTCCTCCATATGTCAAGTAGAAATGTACAAATTCCAGCTTAAGGGCGACAAAAAACAGTGGTCTTATTTTTTTCCTCTCTCTCCTTTAGTCATTAGGTTCAGGAAGTTACAGTAGGGCTACTCGAGCTAGTGTTGGTTAAAAGCATCTTTTGTCCTAGGTTTGTTTCTACATTCAATCTCAACACAATATACAGACCATATTTGACCTCAACAGTTTAACCCTCCCGTTGTCCTTTGCATTTTGTACACACCCAGCGTCCTCCCAACGGGTTGGCATCTTGTCCCAGAATCAGTGTGAGTATGAGGAAAAGTTGGCACAAGCCGTGCAGTATAGGAGCACACACACACACACACTTACTAGGTGACAGGACAACATGAGGGTAAAGAAAACAATGGTTAACAAGTCATTAATGTTCCCACCTGCCCAGAATATTGTCTTCACTCTTGGTCTATGAAAGAAAAAAGGCTCTGATGAAAACAAAAATGATGAAAACAGAAGCACACTGATGTCCATTTTTATTCATGCTTTCTAATCACTATATCTTTGATTGCAGAATGGAGTTCAGGAACACTGAAGCAAAAGGTTTGTCTGGCTTAGATTTTTTTGGTAAAAACAAGTCTTTGATCAATAATAGCACATAAGTGCTGCATCCGCGCTGCGCATTAGTAGTAATCTATCTTTGTTTTTCTTTCAGTACAATTCTACCATTGTTTGAGCTGAATGGCCCCATAACAATGGATATGTTGAGATGTGGTCTTGCTATATATTATAGTGTTGGCCAATTTTAAGTATAGAATTAGTTTGGTCAAAACTATTGGTTTGTGAAAATGTCCATCAAACTCAACCTATAGTTTTTATGGTTTTGCTTTCTTTAAAAACTGGTTTATGTGTTAAAATTTAACGTATAGCAATTAAAATTAGGAAATAAAAGAGAAATGTTTTTGTTTATTTCACTGTAGATGTAAAACTAGTAACGAAGTAGTCACCGACTCACTATCCAACTTGTTATGGGTCATGGTTCCCAAAAACAAAGCTGTCTTATGATGCCACCCTGTGGCTGTGTAGGAACTCTTCTGGGGAGACAGTGACTCACTCGGTGTGTACAGTATATCAAGGAGCAAATACAACTGAATGAAATAATTTATAACCTAACCTAATTAATTTAAGCACGCGAAATTTGTATTTAAAAATGAACTTAGAAAATGAACCTTTAAAAGTTTATTAATACACATCATGTACACAAAATTTGAGAGCTATTTGGATTTGTTTTATTTTGTTTTCATTTCAGATTTTTGTTAATGTTCAGTGATACTATGGAGTGGTAGGAACTAACTATTTAATGTTAAAAACAAACATGTTCATAAAACATTAAAAAAAACAAATGAAAGAAATTAATACTTAAATAATACTGAGTAAACTTGCACCCAGTCTTGGAAAAAACGTGAGTAGTTGTTCAAAATATATTGGTTAACTGGCTGTTTGAACAAAAAACAAATGAAAGAAATTAATACTTAAATAATACTGAGTAAACTTGCACCCAGTCTTGGAAAAAACGTGAGTAGTTGTTCAAAATATATTGGTTAACTGGATGTTTGAACAAATGATGATGAAAGCAGGTTAAGAAGACTAGCAAAACTCATGGTTGTACCCATTTCATTTTTGCTCTGAAGGTTGTCTATATTATAAAATATCTAAGGATTACTAAGGAGATTCATAGTTTCATAGGCCATTAACACAGTAGCACCCATGATTCATAGTTTCATAGGCCATTAACACAGCAGGCCCAATGGACATTCCCTCCTGGACTACCTTTTTTGCACAAATAAGATAGCACAAAAAAGAAAACACTACAATTTTATTTCATGTAGGTGCCATTTTTTGTATTCTTTACAGTTTTCATACATTACCAAATTTACCTACTGCTGTGAATTCCCCCCTTTAGGTATAAAAAGTCTTATCTATAGTATTTTTAAATATTACATTTATTAACTTAATATACAAGATATCATTACTTTAGCTGGTAAAAATATAACATACTATAGTGTTGAAAATGTATGTACAGTAAATGGTAGGACTTTGAAGATAAATAAATCATGTAACTATTCGGTTGCATTATTATAAATGACAAACAGAGATCCACTGCTAAGCTCGCCACACCTCCTTCAGAGGAACGCCATTTTGTTGACACAGATTCTCTATCAAAATAAGCCTCTCTAAACGAGCTTTGTGGCCAAACACGAGCGTGTAATGTTTTTCGTGTAAAGACAGTGGATTTCTCGTTAAACACAAATGCAAATACAATTTAAAAAATGATATCATAAGTTTTATTTCTATCGCTAAACAGCAACTCTTTAAAGTGTGCTCACGGTCACCCATTTTCAATGGCCACCATTGACGTCACGCAATGGTCTCTGTGCAGCTAATCCACCAGGCGTCTGTTTGTTACACCTACATATCAGCACCAACACAGAGAGCACTGGGGTCTGCTTTCTAACAGTCAGCAACTGGAAAAGTAGTTTTAGTTAAATTCGATATCTATTTTAATAGAAAATTAGAGGAAAAGGAGGTATTTAAGCGCAGGTACGCATCTCAGTGGGAGACGGTGCTCCTCCTCGGCTATATACTGTAGACAGGGAAACGCCACAGTTAGCGAGCACAGGCTGCCAGAGGCTAGAAAGGAGCGCAGCAGGCAACACACATCCATCTTTAAGTCGCTTCATACCAACCAAACGGATTTCAGCCCAGGCACTGTCGAACCACCACTACCAGGAACATGTAAGTAAAACATAGAATCATTTTAAAACGTATACAGTATTCCCAATAGTGCATTGTACTCTCCAATGACGTCCTATGGATCTCTGACGCTGTGTTCGTATTGTCTCGTTCTTGTCGCCTCCTTTATTGTGTTTTGCATTAGTCATTGCTGCTTTTATGTTGTTGGTTGAAATGTTAATGTGAAGCTGATTTCTCATAATTGTTGCTGGTTGCGTTTTAATGGCAGTCTCTATAGTTTGGACTGAGACTTAAACGAGGCGGCCTAACCTTGGAGAACACACAGAGACACCAGGTGTATTTAATTATCCGTCGTAAAAGCCATATTTACAGGCATTTCTTTCTGAGGACACGGTCAACGTGCTACACGTCGCTCATTTGTATGTCGTGTTCTGGTTTTAACTCGAGACAGGCGAGCACGCATGATTTATAAATCCAGTTTGGACTGGTTGGAATTGAAAAGGAGTGATAGTCATTGTTGTTGCATTAGATAACTATAAGCATTTTAAAATTATGTTAAGGTGACGTTTTGTTTTCGTGGCCCTTGGTAAACATTTCTGGGGCTTAATCATTTCTGTGGGAATGACCTGACACTGACGATTAAGCTAATTCTATAAACAGCAAGGACACCATGTTAGACAAAGATTTTTCATGGTCAAATGCGACCTTTTCTTCAAGCTTTGACATTTTCGGCGAGCTTTTGTGGCAATCTTTTCTGCAGTGTATCATTTATTTCCAGAATACGGCTTACAGGCCTGGTTAACGTGATGTTTGCTGCTTAGGGCTGGGGGTGGGGGTAGCCTAGCCTTCTGCTGTATGTCGTCGATTGTCGTGCGAGGGCGGACAGCTACACATCTGATTACACCCAGAGCCGTTTGTGCCCTAGATTGCTATAGAGACCCGTAAAAATTGTTTGGACCAAACATAATTCAAAATGTGGACGATTAGGTATGCCTTTTGCCCAATCGAATATGAAAATGCCATGCTGCCATCACACATGTCATTGAATAACGCCCCTCCTGATTGATAATATTATTTTTTTATCAACAATTACAACATCCTAATTGTTTATCTTCATGTTAAATACCTATTTCCACCACTGTTCTTCGTTCTTTATTAAGGAAACCTTCCTCCCCCCTGCCCTGTAATAGGTGAAGGGTATGCAGGCTTCCAAGTGCTTACAGGCCGGTCGTGATGGAAAGCGTGATGTTCTAAAATGTGTACAGACACGCACGGTACCACACGTCAAATGTTCTGGTTCAAAAATTAAGGCTACAGTTGAGCGACATCAAGAATCGTGTATCTGATTAGATGCTGAAGCTGTTGCGCTGTCCAGTGCTGAACTGTAGCTGTCCAGTGCTGAAAAGGAAAGCGCATGTTTTCAATGACAGTCAGGCTATTAAACCTGAATCAAATTATATTACTATTATTGTACTATTATGATTATTGTTTGTCGTAGTTTTGTTGTCTTTTTTCTGTCTTACTCCAGAGATTGTATAGGAACAATAACGTCATTTGCACTGCTCTCCCATTCTTTCTATTAATGCATTCAAAAAAATGTGTTTTATTTTTTAATCAAATTGTTCTCTGAGATTTGGTGTTTTTCAATTCTTACATACTTGTGCTTCAGATCGAGTTATTTTTGTGACAGTTTATATTATTTTTGTAATGAAATGCATTGAAGATTTCGAGGTACTTCAATTTTTCCCAAAGTCCCAAATACAGTAACGATTATATACTTTTGGCAGTCAGCCCACGTGCCAGTGAAGCATTTCTTCAACATTGATTTGATTTACAAGTTGCTTAAGGCAAATGGGTTGTGATTTTTAAGTTAACAAAGCTGTGAATGTTTTCAGACATTAAAATGGTGAACAGGCCATTAATTATAAATAATAATATTACTTATCATTGTCTGAATGTCTATAAAACACCTATGCCATGTCATAAAACAAAATTATTTTGATATACAAATACAGGCTTTACAGACATGTTTTTAGCCTTTTCTGGTGGTCGGGTTCTGTTTTGGCTGGTTGGCATCTGATCAACTATCTAACTAACTACTGTAGAAGGATTTGTTCTTGTCAGTGGATTAGTTATGTGTGAGCATGTGAAGGTGACCTTTATACAGACTTTTCATCTTAGATTATTAAGTTGGCACATGTTAACCACATAAAAGATCACAACATAACAAAGAATGAGAATACGTTAGTTTAAACTGGCTTTGTTTAATTCATACAGTTTATGTGTAAGGTGTTACTGCTTAGATACACTACAAACAAACCATGCATTTAAATCCAAAATGACTCAGTGCTACACCAGATGGCAGATTATTTAAGATCTAATGGTAGGGTTTATATGTATTTGACTTGGGTTACATTGTCACTTTTAAAAGAACTTCAGATTGATTGTATAATGCTGTTAAATATTAAATTGTCTAACTTTAAAGATTACACATTAACTCAAGTGAGGTTAATGTGTACTTGTTAGCCTTGTTCATTACCATTTGTCAACATGACATTTGGTTTATACCTTTTAGCAGCTGTCAGCCAGCAGATTCCTACTTACACATTCTTCATCAATTATTTAAAATTATCAGAGGCAAGAGACAGACGCTGGATAAATCAGTTCAAGAAAACAAAGCCAGATCTATACATTTGTTTACTGTTAATGCTTGATATACCTCAGTAGCTGTGTGCCTTACCTCACGAATCGCCTGGATTCTGGGTGGCCTTTTTATTTTACA